ATATTTTAATTATTCAATTACTGCTGGTAATTACCAGTGTTGAATAAATTTAGTATGTATGTTATTCAACGGGGTTGCGATATAATCTGTGTGTTCCGTGCCTTCCAGGTACCGCGAGGTACTGTTTTGTACATTACCGATATAATTTCTTGATAATTATATAACTGTTAGTTGCATTTTTTTGGGAGGCAAAACTAACACTTTTTATTCAAAATGCATTTGCATGTGATACTTTTATTATATTAACTTGGTCATATCTGGAGCCCAGCTCCAAAATTCTTAAAAGTTAATTACAGGTACAGTATATAGTGAAACCATTATGTCAAAATTATTTCACAGTATATATTGAAAGAAGAATATGTGTGAATGCACTAAATACTGCAAACAGGGTTGGTTCGCAATTTTCTAAAAGACACTAATCTTCATATTGGATACAATTTTCTATCAACTGTATTCAAACATGTAGATATAAAAGAATAATTACCTCTTTAACTACTAAAATGGTCATTTTCGGCCGCTAACCTTCAAGATCCTCGAATATACCCATCTCTATAGTGAGAGGTAAAATACACAGTACAAATCAGTCTATGACGGAATGGTTTAACACACAATGATGACGCACATGTTAAACCCTCATACGTCACGGCCAAATTTAGATTGAAATTTACGAGATTTGATTCTGTATCAACTGGAGCTTTCAGCATTATGCTCAATCAATCAGCTTTCTTCTGCACGTTCGTTTTTGAATGTATCAGGCAGAAATTCATCCCAGTTAAAACATTTGCAAGTTATTTTTATAAACGGAATACATCATCCACTTTTGAAACGCTACGTCCCAAAGAAATTGATATCTGTAATTGCCGTGCTTCGTGTAAGCAGCTCTGGCGTGGAATGCACTGACGTCGTCACAGGAAGCGACGCGGAGCTTCCCTAGGCCGTCCCAGAAAAACTCATGGTGACCAAATCTCGCGAGATGTGGATCAAAACCTATGTTTCTTGCAGATAAAGTTTTTGCCATGAAGAAATTGATGACTTCATCAGCGAGCTTGCACCTCGGTAATCCTTCGAGGGCGTACTCGCCGCTTCTGCGTTTCAAACAATAACCGTTTTTAGAATGCGATCGTACGTGTATCTTATTATAAGTCTTGTCCAGGTAGACTTTACTCTTTCCAGTATCCACGATACCAGAGACTACATCTAAACCTAAAAATGGATTTTCTAATTTTTCCAGCATCAGCTCCAGCCGCGTAGTATTCGTGAAAATAAAATCGTCGTCAATCCATACAAAGTATTTTGTTCGGACCTGACTCAGGACGAGATTCCTTCCAGCGAACCATCCAGTAGCAAAGGGCATTATGTAGTGGAATACGTTAGGGTACACTAATGCTTCTGGCACTTCCGAATCGTCTGCAATAATTATGGTAATGTTCGGATAAAACTCATGCACGCTTGTTATCATTTTTCGAGCTGATTCGTATCGTTCAAATGTTTTGCTAACTATTGTCACTTTTTTGTTGATATGGTCGCTGGGGGCGATGTTGTACAATCTCGGGTACGGCTTTCGAAAAATATGAATATGTATTTTCATTACGTAGTCTAGAATGGAGATGCGAATAATATCACGTGCATTGATGACGTATGTTGTGCTCTTATAGAGTATGTTCGTTAGTACATTATTTACTCTTTCAAGATGCAATCCGCTGTTGAATTCCAGTGACAGTTTGCGACTATCATTCCCTTTTAACCAAATGTTACTGTATTGTCGTTATGGTAACGAGGTGACATGTACACGGTGCCATAGTTTAGTGTTTCAAATACTAACATGAACTTAAGTTCACTTAATAGATATTTCCAAAATAACGGGTGAAATGCCAGGCCAGAAAGAGAAGTCGATTGCAGCGGCTCCACTGTTAGACCACTTCCTGGAATGTCCATCGGCGCCAATGATGGACACACGACAAAAGGTTCTTCCCTCTCTTCTTGAATATTATTCCATTCATTAAATTGAGTTTCCCGCCTTTTCCTATCACTTCGGTCAGTTAAACTCCATATGTAACCATGGCGCTTACAATCGCACTTTACGCCATCAACGTCAACTCTTCTCTTTATATTACTCTGATCTGTAAATGTCTCGTCACTTGTATCATGGTGCCACAAATCGCGTAGTAGCGTACGGAATGCGACGATTTCATCTGTTGTAGGCGGTGTAATGCCATTTATTCTAGTATATTCTGCGACTCGCGTTATTTTATCGCTGTTTAAAACAACTAGAATCACTCCAATGAACCCGATTGTGATAAACGCGTTTCTTTTGATGAACAGCGTCATTTCTATCTACACTAGTATACGTCATACATGGAATTGGTTATTCTTCAGACGAATTCACAGTTGTCTAAAAAGTAAAAAGAAAACATTGTAAAGACCCGTGTCTAAAATAACAGCATTGATATCCAATGAAGAACACTTTCAGAATGATTCTTTGTAACATGCATTGTGCCATTTCGAGTTAAACTATTGAGAAGACATGATTACAATCTTTTAATTTGTGTTACCTCGACAAAATACAACCGTAATCCGTGACAATGATATAATTTAAATTACGGTTGTACCAAGTACTTGGTTTATGTATAAGTTTATGTACGTATTTATACTTTTCGTGTATATCACATGATATCGTTACATGATTGATATTGTTTCGCTTTTTAAGATTCCTGTCGCGCTACAAGGGATAATATTATTTAAAAAAAATATTTGGTGCTGGTGAAATCAGTAAACAACAAGTTATATGAATTATCAATTTCCTTCCAAGATCAGAACTAAACGAGAGCGAAGACAGAGAAGATACAATACTGTTTTGTGATGGATCAACGATTGTCAGATATTCGAAAATAAAAAGAACGCATGAACATGTGTACTTCATTGTTCTTAGCACATTTTTGTTATTTATTTTGCACGATTGAAGGGGAGAACATCCTAGGTAGACGGATAGTGTTGGCATACCAAACAAAACAAGTTACGCATCATTTATATATCACTTAAAAACTAAATTTAAAGACTAACTTAAAAGTATAGTTAGAATTATCTGGTGTTGAATTTAATACGCCCAGCTTTATTCCAATGTATGTGAAATCATTGCACACATCTATACCATATACGGATTGCATTTTGTCATTAAAACACGTTCTTAATAACAACATAGTAATGTAATGGTCATCTGACGCATGCGCAGGTGACGACTCCCACGCTTTAATTGTTTTACACTTCACAATATATATTTTGTTCGCAGATACTGCGTTTACGAGGAAATATACGATTTTTTTTTCACGACCGCGAACGCTCAGCTAACGGAATGTTAACCAAGGTTAAAGGGCAATGATCGTCACGCAACGCGTGTTCGAATTTCGTGTAAACAAACAATGCATTTTACACGTGGTGTTTACGTCACTGTGATAAAGGTATAGAACAAGATGCGGCGCGACGACCACCGCCCTTTAAATATGTTTTTCTACACAAGATTACATAACATATCGTGATGCATAAAATATAGTGATATAAAACATGAATATAGTAATATATTTTATCTTTTGCTCATCACTGCTTGGCAGCGTGATAATACTGTCTTTGAAATATAGTTTGGTCTGAGACTCCATAAACTGCGTCCACCTGTTGTGTGACGCACAATAGCAGGAGGAACAGCCAATTCCGGTCATAATCATTAATTCAAGAATATGATCACATGCATAACGTCTCAGATTATATTGAATAACACGCCAGCATCTTAGTAGAGTGGCGTGCATATGCATAGACCATATTCACACTTTCAAGCACGCCACTTCGAGTGACGCCACGAATGGCTTCGACTTCTTTTTCTTCACATTTATTTAAAGTGGGGAAGTCGTCACCTGCGTGTGTTGTTGTCGTCGATTGGGACTCAACTCCCGCGCATGCGCAGATGACGACTCTGACGCTTTAATCTGTGCGTTATATTGACGCAACGAGATCACGTGATACTGTATTAAAACGTATACGTATAAAAGTATACAGGAGACATATACGGACACTAGAGTCATAGTAGGCACTTTGCATTACTCTGTAGGCTTCATTCCTTTTGCTAATGCCCAGAGATGAACATTGTACTTATACTATGTATATCTGATGTCTTTACGCAAATACTGACCCATAGTCTATACAACCAAACCTTCGTTATCCAAGTTCAGATGACACGGGTACAGCTGATTATGCTCTGCGAAAGCCAGCGAGTTCTTTAGGAATTACCCCAATAATAAAACAACTCAACTCGCGAAGATAAGAAATACTTGACACAGCAGCTTCAATAAGGCGCGATAAGAGACAACCAGTAACGACATGATAAAGACAAATAATAACACCCATTAACTACTGCAAAGCCAAAACAGCCAACATAGGTTACCGCGATGCGAAAAAGCGAAAAGGTCAAAGCGTCTAGGAGCTATTTTTTCTGGGATGTGCACTAAAAATAAGCTGAGACAATTGCTAATTTGCATAACCATTCACTCAGTAAGAAGTTTGCTAATGCTCATAATGGAACAGTTCCAAATTTAAATGTATTATCGTTTTGCAAAAAGTTAAATATAGTGCATAATATGGAGATCCCGTCATTACTTTTTTTCACCATGTTTCTTTTTATTATTTATGTACAGCCTTGCAAAATCTTGCTAAACATTCAAAAGAGAGAATGTTTGCACCTGTTGTCTATATTTTAAAATCGTCTTTTGAGTATGTTCCACTATTCAAAATTCTACAACATTTTAACAGTCAAGACTGTTTGGATAATAAAAAGCAAAAAAAAAAATAGTTAACTATCATAACAACTGTCAAAAGGTCATTTTAAAATATTTCTAATAACGTTACAGTGGCCTGAATGTAATAGACATACCATGAGATAGAATGTTAATTTCATGATACAAAATAAATTATCACTTCTCACTGCTGTTACGCCTGTTATGATTGGTTGAAACTCGGTCACATGACATTGAATACAAAAGTATATTACATATATTGCCCGCCAAGTGGATATTACATGGGTATATCACATGGATGACGTCACTGAAACTACTGCGCATAACACATTGTCGTCCGCTGCACTGTGCTGCCCCGAACGCTGTTGTTTTCGGGACTAGTTTCAATGTTTTGCAGGAACTTTAGCCATTCGAAATAGACACCGCACGTGTCAAAATGGATACGCATTTCTACGCGTTACACGCCGGTGCTAAGCGAAAACGCTCTAAGCTGTGTGACTTATGAATAGAAGGTGTGGTACGTTCGTGAGAAAGTAATTTCAATCACTTCCACGGCACTCTGACATT